GATCATTGAATCAAATGTTTATCAAATGAATACCAAAACAAATGAACGGAAATATGAAATCAAATATTTTGTTAAATATTTGCGACACGACTGACGACACCTTTTTGAACGCCAAATACGCCCAACATTGACGCCCTTCACACCAGTTGTATATTGCAATCAATTTTAGTATTTTAATGTTAAATATTTGAAGAAATTATTTGATAAAAATTGGAAACAATTTAATTGTTATGTAAGTGAATGGTTTGATTAACGGGTGGCCAATAAATATGATGTGCAATAAGTATAGGCGCCGTCCGGGCGTATGATTTCTGTGCGGACACCGAGATGTCAAACGACTGAATGCCAACAAAAACGTTAACGCCTTGTGAGTCATGTATAGAGAGAGGAATTCAGTCAACATTTCTCACATAGTTTTGTATAGAGGTGTGAAAAGTGCGCCAATTTTGAGCTGTCATTATATTTGCTGTAATATGTGTTAGATGTGAATCAATTATATAACCCTGGTGATGATTATTGCATTTATTGCGTGAAAGATCTTTTTTATATGCAGTTAGTGTTTAAATAGCTGTTTATTAATGGATTCATGTAATTAGAAATTATTGTTATACCGGGGCTATTCTTTGAAGTATTGATAAAATTGATTTTATAAATATCATCTCTACTTTCTATTTTGAATATAGAGTTATAAATATTTATATAATGTTTAATTTTTAATGAATTCAAACTTAATTGTACGAATAATAAATAAATATGTTGTCTTAATTTACTTATGTTGGATTACTATGGGCAATAGACTCTATGGCTAACATAATTCAAATGAACCCATAATATGTTGCTGAGCCTGAACAGGTATGCAAGAATTTTTTGTAAATTCTTTATTCTTAATCGGAAGCAGTCTTAAAATCACACCATATACTTAGGGACTAATTATCTTGGCCATTTAAAAGACCATGAAACTGTATTTTTACTCAAATTTTTATTATATTCTTAGCTTTAATTTAATATATCTTAAGATTGTTTCTGATTAAGAATAAAGAATTTACAGAATATTCTTTTTGGCACCATGACATTTGTGCACACCTGTATTTAATGAGCAAGCAAATTTGAAGCAACTATTTGTTAAAGTGGTCACTCACTTGCCAGCCCTTACTGTATGGTCTCATTGGCAAACTTTTTACAATATATTCAGTCACAATTTAGGGTACAACTACATTAATACAGTTTATAATAAATGAGCATGGCTATTAATTATGTTAAATACAGTAAAATGATCCCAAATTAAAAGTTTATTTACAAAACAATAGTAATGATTGAGAATAAGTGTCAGAGTATGGGTTGACTGAAGACAACGCGGCCTTTCAGACATCCGGAAGCGATTTGGCAATGCGTTGGAGAGAACTTAGTGGTGACAACAGAGTCCGGATGACATAGACTTCGCTTCAATTCATACAACACTTTGGGCTCATTTGAGACACAATCAGACATCTCAGAGCACTTGGAGTCAAATGAGAGCAACCGATAGCCGAACTGATAGGGAGAGCAGACAACTCTTCCGTCGCCACTGAAACACAACTCTTTGATGAATCCCTGGCTTTCATTGAGTTCTTCGATATAATACTTGAGTCGCGGACTGTTTTTATAGACATAAATGGCATCGTTTTGATTGCTTTGGGAACAGCGTTTGGATTGGCGGACAAGTGTTGTGTGCGGTTGTGTGGATCCGATCTGATTACTGATTACTATTACAGAACTGTCTGAAAGTTGTGACAAATCACTGCTATTGTCACGAGAATCACTTAAAGTAGACGACTGTGCGCTTGACTTTGGTCTCAAACCATTGCAATTTTGGGGTCTTTTGATTGGCTTTAATTCCAACGGTTTATCTGAAGCCATAATATCGTGAACACACGTCCACTCAGACAACTCATTGGCCGCCGTATTCCTCGAGAGCACAGCCCAACCAAACGGATGGACATCTAATGTAGTGATGTATCCGTTTTTGTCCATTTCTGGAAAATCTGAGATCAATTCGACGCGATTTCTGTGTGAAGTGAAAAGTGGGTTAACCCACGAACCCATGTCTATACCATAGCTGCAGTCTTCTTGCATAATACGGTACAAATCGGGCACAAAATCTCTCAGATCTTCAGCCAAATGATTCAAATCCAAGTCATGTATTATTAGGAGATATCCGTCAGCCGTCGATATAATCATTTTGGTTGAGTCCGGACTCAACACCATTCGCAACATATTCTTGATTTGGAGGACATTCTGTGGACAACTCGAAGAGCTATTGATATCCCACTTGAGAACCGTCTGGTCGTAAGCGGCCGACAGGAGTACCCCCTGAGAGCTGTCGTATTCAATACTCTTCACCCAATTTCGGTGTCCTTTCAATGACTTGACTTTTTGGCCACAATTCCTGAGATCCCAAACGGCAAGAGTGCAGTCATCAGAACACGTGACAAAAGTTCTTGAGTCCAGAAATTTCACTAAATTTACACACGATTTGTGTGCGGCCGGGATCTCTTTACACAACTCATGAGTATTGGCATTGAATATCAATACTTTGCGGTTTTCTGTGGCCGCCACTAATGTCCGCCTTTTTGTCATAGAGTCAGCATTAGATCACGCGATGAGTGCATGAATGCATTCAATACATACCCGTCCGCACTGTACTCCACGTTAAATATGGCCCCAGAATGGGAACTACAGGCATAGCCCGCACCCGCACTACTGTCCCAAATGTACTCCTTTCGGGTGGCCATCGATTGGTAGAGATTCAGTGATAACTCACTCTTGAGTGCCAAATGAGCCCTTTCGCCACTCAATTGTCGCCAACTGTGGAAATGTGGCCAAAAGTGACCACTTCTTGGTTTAGCCATCACTTCAATGAGTCTTCAAAACATTGTTTGTAAACAAAACTATTAAAACCCAAAACACGTGACTCTCTGTCAACGCATTCATTGAGATATTGCTTACAGCGAGACATACCTTAAGGCGGGCTTTGCTTTCATGCAAACAATCATTCAGTCCTACAGTTAGTCCTCAAAGATATCTGTTGTTTATCTCAAAGATTAACCATTATATCAGATCTGATCCCAACAATACTCGGCACTACTTTTGTAGACAACAAACTGTTACCATTACTGTAATAGTTTCCAAACTCTGATCAATCAGTCAATTTGTCTCTTAGTGTGTAATGAACACATAAACCAAAATACAATGTTTGGTGTCAATCAATGCAAACATTCAGTGAAAGTATGAAAATATAGTTTTCATTCAATTTTATTGCTTTTAATTGTCATTCAATTTGTTTCAATCAGATTATGACCAATGCTTTGATGCGATATAATGGTCACAAAGTGATGTCACTTCTGAGTTGTGGCAACAGATCCAACTTCATTGACCGCAAGTGTGTCCGAAATGCATCGACACTACCATTGACTCAGTTGTCTGAAGAGGAAGAGGCCATGAAAGACATCGTCCGAAAACTGGCGCAACAGAAGATACAACCTTTGGTTAAGCGGATGGACGAGCAGTCAGTGATGGATAAGAGTGTTATCGACGCTCTCTTCCAGAATGGCGTAAATCTCTTACAAATTGGTTATCTTAAGAAACTATTGATGATATGTTTTGAATGGACAGCTGATGGGAGTGGACATTGACCCCAAATATGGTGGCACTGGCGCCTCATTCTTCTCAGCAATGCTAGTGATCGAGGAGTTGGCAAAAGTGGATCCGTCTGTCAGTGTCTTCTGTGACGTGCAAAACACTTTAGTCTCGCAAACCTTTCATAGATTTGCAAACGAAGAACAAAAAGCTAAATACTTCCCACGAATTGCAAAGGATTGTGTAAATGAGTTATCAATGCTTTCATTTGAATTCATTTAATTGACATCTAATTGATTGATTGATAGGTCGGTGCCTTTTGTCTGTCGGAACCGGACTCGGGTTCGGATGCATTCGCTCTGAAGACAACTGCCATTAAAGATGGAAATAATTATATAATAAATGGCACCAAATGTTGGATCACGAATGCAGAACACGCCGGACTGTTCCTGGTCTACGCTAATGTCAATCCGTCGGCCGGTTATAAAGGCATCACGTGTTTCGTTGTGGACCGCAATACTCCCGGACTCTCGGTTTCCAAACATGAGGACAAACTGGGAATCCGAGCCTCGAGTACGTGTCCCGTCATCTTCGATAACGTCAAAGTCAGTCACAGATGTGTTCATTACATGACTTGTAGCTAACTATTGCCTACATTCAGGTACCGGAGTCTAATGTGATTGGACAGGTAGGACATGGATATAAGTACGCAATCGGCACTCTAAATGAAGGGCGTATTGGTATCGGGGCTCAGATGTTGGGTTTGGCGGAGGGCTGTTTCGATCACGCCGTCAGATATACTCTCGAAAGGAAACAATTCGGACAAAGAATATTTGATTTTCAGGTAAATCTGAGTCGACTTCTCAAACCAGAGTTTGCTATGAATAGTGTTTTAATAGTGAATATTTGTGGCCCTCATAGGGAATGCAACACCAAATCGCGAGAATAGGCACTGAGATAGAGGCGGCCAAACTACTCGTCTATAACGCGGCCCGACTTCGCGACGCAAACAAGCCGTTCATCAAAGAGGCGGCAATCGCCAAATACTATGCCTCGGAAGTAGCGGCCAATGCTTCGGCCAAATGCGTCGAATGGTTGGGTGGCGTGGGATTCACGCGAGACTTTCCCGTCGAGAAGTATTATCGCGACTGTAAAATAGGCGCCATATATGAGGGCACCTCTAATATACAGCTCAACACTATTGCCAAACATATTGCTGAGGAACATAAATAATATTCTCGTGTTAATCAATTGACTGATTTTAGTTTTTTAAACAATTTATGCCATTTTCGCAAATGTTACAAACAAATTATGATTACAGAATTTCATATTTTTCTAACAAATTTTCTAATAAAAAATTCTTTTATTTTTTCGTCTGACTTCTGATTACAATTTTAATTTGATTTTTAAAATTTGAATGACTATTCAATTAACAAATTTTGTTTACTATTTACTTCTAATATGATGTGTAAGTAACAGTACAAAAGGCAAGTGAATGACAGTTCATTTAATTTACGCATACAGTAGTGGTTGCGTCCGTCGAAAGTCTCACTAATTTGTGAACAATCAAAATGTATCCTGAGAATCCAAGTGATATCGTAATCTTTATTTGAACCCACAGTTTATCAAATTATCAGCTACTTTGATTAGCTTTCATTTGGTAAACATTTATACTCTTTGGACTTGGTACATTTTCAAAAGTCAAATATAGACATGCGAGTGCATTTTGAAAAATAAACACCAATTTTTATATTGTGTTGGTTGCAAATTTTACGAACATTTATGATATTAATTATTTTTAAATAAATTTTACTTAAATTTTACCGGTAATATCACTTTTATATTGAGAAATTTTTAATTTTAAGTCATGTGCACTGTTTGATTTTGCGTTCAATCATGTATCATTAAAACTTTATTTATTACTCTAAAAAATTATAATTTTAAAACTTAATATTTTCATTGATTATATGATAATGCCTGACTATTTGAATATATCAAATATTTTAGATATAATTAATTAATTAAAAATGCAATTGGTTAGAATAATTTACTGGGCACATTTTACTCTATTTAACACAAAGTATATTGTTATAGTATATTGAATACTCGTTCTAAAGTTTAATCAGAATATTCTGTATAAACAATCAATTGCAAGCATTTAGTAACACTATGCAATACTATACTATGTTAACTGTGAGCTCGATGTAATGTTTTAGATATTTCATTTGAAGATTTAAGTTTGTGTCCAACTGTTAGAGTCTATCTACAGTAACAAGTTCAGTTTAGTGCCAATTGATTGCATGTTTTCCCTAATATTTTGTTCAATGGTTATTATACCATATCAGTTGATAGTATACAGTACTTTATAGGGGTCTTCCATTGACCGATTCATATGAAATATTTGATCATTTTGGACATAAAGATAAATTGTAACATAATATGTACAGTATATTATACACTTATTCACTTGTACCGTAACTTATAGCTATTTTATGGCAAGTTTATGTGACAACATTCTTTAAAAAATAAAAACCTACAATAAGCAATATAATGTAATATTCAAAATATAGTAAACAATTCTATTGTGAAAGCATTTCTTTACAATTTGTTAAATAATTAATCATAAATAAAAATGAACTACTAATAATCTGATATTTTTAAACTCTTAAAATTAAAAACATTTGTTATTTATTTATTTATGTTTATGAATTTAAGAAATAAGTTCTTTATAGGTAATACATAACATTTATTAAAACAAATCTATAACTTAATTTTATCTCGAATTTAATTAAAGTGATAAATAATAAGAAGTAGTATAAAGCAAGTAATATTACATTAATGAAGAAAATAATGGTATAAAATAGAGTTTTCTGGAAACTGGAGAATGGCCTTTACACTAGCATTCAATTTAATGATATATAAAATGTGTTTAAAGTAATTGTCTTTTATAAGACACAAAGACAAACAATTCTCAATTTAGGCAAACATTAGATGTTTATATAGGAGAATGAAGTAAAGTATGGATATATGAGCGTAAAAATTGTTATAAATAAGTCTATAAGAGTGTTGTCATTGGATTGCATTGACATAAAGAGAATAAAGAAAAGTTAAGACTATAGTTCACACAATGTATGATAGTATGAGAGTTGGATAGAAAATAGAGTGGAGTGTTGTCTGGGCTGATGATGTGTATGGAAGCAAATGATGATAACTAACGTTTTGAGACTATTATTGTAGTGTTGGAGACATTTATTATGTTTTCTATAATATTAGATTTGAAGCACAGGGATGGCATAGGCAGAGGCAGTGAGTGCTGTGTTTGTCATTTTGCAAATAAATCTCAATATTTTGAGTAAAACACATGTTTGTGGATATAAGGAAAGCAATGGTAATGCGATTCGGATAGAAAGGTAAAGCCAATGACAAATGGCTACAAGAAATTGGATGAGAGAGAGAGAGAGAGAGAGAGAGAGAGAGAGAGAGAGAGAGAGAGAGA